ATTAATCTAACTCTTATAATTCTTTAATTAAAAAAACTTTATTTATTAATATATATTTAATAATATTAAATTTTTTGTAATCATGAACTAATTGAACCTATTAAAACAATTTGAAAATTAATATACATGATTTATATAAATAAAACTTTTAATTAATGGTTGATTTTTGAAAATATAATTAAAAAATGAGTTATTATATAGGTTCTCTAAGAAATATTTAAGAAGATAACTTACAAAACACTTTTTCTTTACTATATTATTTATTTAGGTAAATATAATATAGTAATTATTTTCACATTAATATGTATATATACTTGAATCAGCTTGGGTACTTTGGAGCCGAACATCACCAAACTTGATGTTTGACTCAAAAAGTTACATAAGTTCAAGTAAGCATCGAGCTCTATTCTCGTCAATGGTTTGTCTCGTTTGCAATCCTACCTTGGAGGGTGCAGGTATTAGCCACTGCCTCATCCTATTGCCATAATGCCATCCCTAGTTTAGCCATGAGGTTGGGCTTCAATGGTGTGGTGTCAACTTATATTCCCAGTAGATTGTCAACCTAGGTCAAGGGTGCTGAGCACTAAGAACTGTAATTTCCAGCTAGGCCTAGGCCAAAGGTTCAACCGTGAGCAAGACCTTGGAATTCAACCTTGGTTCGATCTCTGAGGATAAAGATAATTAGTATCAAAATAATTAAACTATTTCCTAGTTTGTTTGATGACAGTTATCTAATACAACACTCTCTTTGTTCTTTTTCACAAACCCCCTTCTTCACCCATTTTAATGTACAAAACCTAGTGCCTCTAATACAATATGAAAGCTTATATTCTTAAATATTAAGACACCTGTGGATTATGTTTTTTTTAGTAATTCAATAATTTTATTAAATAAGTACAAAAGGTACCTAAATTCATAATACAAGTAAAATTCACACCTCAAAACAAAGCAAAGTGTCCCAACCATCAAAACAAAAACTGTCAAGGCCGATACCAGAGAACAATTTCTGATGGAGCATTCATCTGCTACATTTTATGAACAAGTAGTCTCCCATTTCAGCACATAACAATACATAAAAATGCAATAAACCTTAAGTGGAGGGTGAACCTGGTATTGTTCTTGTGCATAATTAGTCTTACATAGTGATGCTGCCCCTTCCTACTTCTTTACTGCTGTCCTTGCTAACAAAAATCTGAATTTTGATACAATACCAAAGATCCTCCAATTGTAAAGCATGTGACATCTCACCCTCACAGAACACCCCATACTTGTGTTGTAAAAACTGTGTCACAACCCCGTATGTCATGAAAATCCATAAACCCCACACAGGCATTTGATCGAGCACTTGATGTGCATGACCAAAAGAAACTATAGTCTTGCCTCAATTCACCAAAACCAAAGATACAAGGATGGCAATCCCATGCCAAAAACACGTAGCCCAAAAAAATTAATCCACCATCCAAAATCACTAAATTTAGCAGACTTACTTTGAAACCAAAGGCATAATTTCACACAAATCTCTGAGATCTATCGAATATTTATAGGTTGTCTACCTTGGTGTTAGTGTTCCAAATCTTGATTGCGTGTCCCTCGAATCGATTCTAAATCCAAAGAAACAGAAAAACTGTTCACTTCAAAATCGAATAAATTTGAGGTAGGTCCATAAAAA